CACCGAACCACTGAGCTAAATCCCCGGCCCCCATTTAACCCTGTTTTTATTGTGTTTTTAATGTGCATTTCTCTTGACTGTCAAGGGTGAGTATATTTTTATGGGCTTAATTACTGTCTGTCTTACTTCAGGCTACTGTAACAAAAATCCCATACACTGGAAGCTTAAACAAGAAACAGTTGTTATTCCTGAAGCTGGGGCAGGTCTGGTGCCCGTGAGGGTCTCTTCCTGTTGTGTGTCATCATCTTCTCATGTCCTCAGTGGCCAGAGAGAAATCTCTCCCATGTTCTTCCCTGACCACTTCTTGCAGCACTGGGGCTCAGACTCAGCCTTGCCAGTGCTAGGCTAGCACTCTGCCCCTGAGCTGCTCCTCATTAAGGCCACTGACGCCCAGTGCCATCTGAACAGGGGGTGGGGGTGCAGTGTTAGATGCCCACATGAATGTTTTTGTTTTTTTTTTTTGGTACCAGGAATGGAATGCATGAATTTTTGTGGGGGAGACATAGACATTCAGACTGTAGCACCATCCATGTCTCTTTTGGTGCTGAGTCTGTTCATATCTGTGGCCTCCTTTTTAATATTCAGTTATGTGTCACATAATGACATCCTGGTCAGTGACAGACCACGTATACAAAAGTAGTTCTGTAAAAGAATGATAGAGTTGAAAAATGCCTATGGCCTGGTGAAGCCATAGCCACGTGGCCTTGTCCTGCAGCAGTGGCTGTCAGGTTTGTCACATAAACATGTACCGTTATGCACAGTGCATGGGACCCAACGATGACAACAGGTCATGTGTTTCTTGTGCTTCATGCTACCTCCCATTGTGCCCCTTTGGATTATCTACCTGGCACACTGTTCTTGCAGTACTGTTACCCAAGGGCTGCCTGGCGCCCTGCTGGCCGTATCTCGATGGCATCAGTGGGCCACGCGGAGTGGCTGTGAGGCCCGCACTGTGACAGGTTTCTCAGTGTGTCCCTTTCATTAAATGATGTAAGACTGTAGCTGGAGTTTTGTATGTTGTGTGAGATGGGAAAGGTTTTACTTTTCCAACTTACAGACTAAGGTTAGGGTTTGTGAGTATGAGTTTGCTTTCTTCTTTCCCAGTCTGTGCCTTATACAGTATTTGTTAGGCAGGGATTTAGTAATTTTCTGTTTCTCCAAAGACCACCTTTTGGTTATGTTGGTCTCTGTGTCTGCTGTTTTATTGGCAGGGAGTGTGTTCTATGGCCTGGTTTTCCTCCCCACGCTGCAGCCCTTCTGTGTGACTTTTGTCTTTTCCTTCCCTTTTTTTGCTTCTCATTCATTGACAGCTTTGGCTTCATTTTGGAGTCTTCTGTACCAACAGATGGTGTTAGCCTGCTTTTCATTACGATAACAGAATGCTTGAAGTAGGTAGCTTTGTAAAGAAATGCGGTTTATTTAGCCAGTGTTGGGCAGTGGGTGGCAGTGGCAGGAGTGCCTGCCCTAGGATGTGGTCACACCTGCAGCTTGTGCCTTAGGCAACAGCTCTTGTGAACACTTGTCAAGGTGTCATACTCCAGCTCCCTCCTCCATAGTGGCCTAAGATCTCCCGGTGATGCCTCCTTGGGGACCAGGCTTTCCACACTCTGACCTTTAGGGACACTTGCCACGTGTACACACAGCCAGACTGAAAGTAAAGCCTGGATTTGAAGCCACACCTTGTGGAGGCTTCCCAGGGGCAGAGAGGGCCTTAACAGTGTCTGATGGTCGTAAGCTTCCAGGAGCACGAAGTGGCCTTTCTTACCATCTAGTGCTGATGCCTCCTGTGCTGGCAGTATCAGTCTGGGGCCCACTACCTTGCAGAGTATCCAGAACACAGTGTGCAGTGTATTTGAACGTGCTGAGCTTCTGCCACTTTAGCTCTGCTCATTTTCTCCTTTGTCATAGACACATGCTTAAAATGACAGGAAGTACCCCTTCAGCTGGAAAGTAACACTGTGGTAGGCTTGTGAGCTTTAATCAAGGTAACCAGTGGGAGTTTTTTGAAAAGACAGCTTACCCCTTGTTTTTGTTGTCTTTTGTTTTCATTCATAAAATGAGACTTTTGTTTTTTGGGATAAATAACTGCTCACATAATTTTTATCAATATTGTAACAAGACCAGGCATTCACTTTGGGCAAATAGAATTGTCTATTTTTGAGATGTGTACTCTATAATTTTTTTTTTTTTTTTTTTTTTTTTTTTTT